TTCCACATACAGCGTTCGTCGAAGTTCATCAAGCATGGCGCGATTAAGGCCACATCAACTTCCCACACTGAACAAAGCCCTTAGATTGACATAGTACGACCTGTTCTATTCTCTTACGTTGTCTCAGCCAGTATGCTACCTCCAATAGGGTCTACGCCTTTGTCTCAAGCCTCTTAATTCAGTACTTCATAGCATGGAAGAGGGTGGCTTTAGCTGGAGCGAGGTCGCCTATTATGTTACATCGCAGAAGAGTCCAGATCATGATGCTCGTGGGATTGAGTGAGTTGATCGCGCGCGACCATGAACGCAATGTCAGAAATTGATGCACTGGTGTGTGACGTGCATCCTCTGCGCTTTTGCCTATTTCTCTTGTTGGTTCAACAAGTAGAGGGGGTGTATCGTAGCGAGGCATGGGACTGTTATCCGATCTTTTACGTGGCTCACTTCATGTCAACGTTAGAGCGCTGAACGTTGTTTTCGGCCTGTAACGGCTTTTTGTGTATTGCGACGAGGGTACCATCCGTGAAGTAGCCTTCGCGCTGAAGGCCGCGTTCTCCAAGGCGAATAAGTGGCGTTTGAGTCGACGTAATGAGTGCGTCTTGTAGCAGTGTGGAGATAGACGACCCATGAAGAAGTGAGCTGCAATGCAATCAACCCCGCAAGCCAACGCCTCGTTCCGTGGAAGGCGGACCTGCTCTGCTATTCGTGTAATTTGCTTCATTGTTTCGTGCTGCGTACGGCAGCACACAGCCTTCGATTCGTGTCCGATCGTGATCGATAACGAGAACCCGGATATTCAATTGATGGCGCTGCATGATAACTTGCCAGACAAGGGTGAGCTAGCCGTTCTATGGTTCAGCTTCACTGGGGCTGAAAGGCGGGCGTGCACACGCTCATACTTCTGGCCGTGAAGGAGGCGAGGCGTAGCATAGTCAGCGAATCTGATCGTTTGGTTTGAACCCAAGGGATGAATGGCGCGTTTGTCGTCGTCGCGGAGCCAGAGACCTCTCTATTAAAGGATCAGTTGGGTAGCTGCGAGAAGAGGTGGCGCTGTCTAGCGGCGGTGAGAGATGCGCACGTCGAGTAGCGTGGTGAGATGCTGCGGCGGGGTATGGAGTCGTGTTGTGTAAAACAGCCGTTGAGGTACGGAAGTACATAGGTGTAGGTGAGTTCAGTTCAGTCGTTTGACGTTCAACGCACGAAGCAGGCGAAGTAGCGTCTCGATATTACGCTCTTCGGCTGTCCATAAAGCCTTAGGTGGATACCTGGAGGAACAAGCAAAGACGTGACCATACACTCACCTCAGCCAGCTGCAGAAAATCTTCTTCCTCAATCCACCGCACAAGGCGATGGAATCAATGAAAAAAAGTGCGCGCAAAACGTGCAGTCCAGCAAAAATTGCCCCGCCGAGATTCGCGAACGAAGCTCGTAATAGTCCCATACCGCGCTGTGCAATGCAGACGAGACTATTAGATCAACTCAATCTTTGAGCTGAGTGATCGCAAGAAGGCTAAAAGATGTTAGCAGACTGAACAATAGGGTGAGGGAGGAGGAACTGACTAAGTATGAAAAAGAAAAGAGAGTTCGAACGGGGGACGAGCGAGCTTAAGAATGGACGGTAGAAGCCGCGCTAGTGGGTGGTACGTGCGTTCTAACCTAGCGGCTGGATATTGTGCGTCGGTAGAACTTCGGAACGAGGGAGCCGCATACCCGTCTTGCGACCCGGTATTTCGCTGACATAGTTTGCTGGAATGTTAAGATATCAGTTTCAAGAGACATGTGGGTGAGGGTGATTACACGGCTCCATTCTTACTTAGCACAAGCAAATCACCTCGCCCTGTTCATCCTTCCCTAGCGCTTTTCGGACCTACTCATCGGCATAGTTCGATACCTTCGTAATTCCAATCCGCCTGAACATCAGATACTCAAGCGTGCGTCGCGGTTATATCAGTCGGGCGAGGGAAGAACGCTGCGCCTACCCGAACCTATGCACAACCGTGTTCGGCCGGGGTCCTCAGCGCTTCGAAGAGGCTTCACTGTTCTCCGGAATGGGGTTGGAGACTCGCATTGGTCATATCTACGCTTCGGCGCTACGTCTCCAGACGAATCTTGTTGATCACGTTGAAGGTATCCTAACAGGTGATGGAAGCACCCTGCATATCTATATCCAGAGAGATAGCGATAGCATAATGAGCTCCTCAGCTTTGACGCCTCCTAAGCGCCGCTCTATACATGGCGCGTACCCATACATCGTACGATTGGGCGCCTATTTCAGAGATCCTGCTATATAATAGGCAACGTTGCGGCGAAACTGGATGTATAATTCTTCAACACAACGCCAAATTTGAGGCGTGCCATTGCTTGACCTTCATCACGACAACCACATCGTATCCGAAAAAATTCTTGTTCTACTCCAACATGCTCTGCGACTTTTGTATTGGCATGCTGAGTGAGCGAAGGGGCCAGATAATGACTGGGATGTTCGATCTTACATTCGAGCACCACAAATTCACCACGACCCTTCGACGATCAGTTAAAGCCGACTGCTCAATATGCACTGGACTTGCTAAGATCCTTGAGTCTGACACCGACCTTCGGGTAGACCAGGCTTTGTCTATCCGAGCGACCCTGAAGAAAGTTTGGCTCGGGTCTGATCAAGTACGTGGGAGTACATTTACTCTGGATTTTGAGCTTGGAAAGAATCGATCGCGAGTCTTTTTGCTGACCGAAAATGGTACGTGGAATGCAAAAAAATGCTTCAAGTTCTGACCATTAGCGCATGTAGAAGAATCCAACCACCAGCGTATAAACACGACAACACCATCGGGTGACCTCGTCGACATCGCACAGACCTGGATGAAGAAGTGCAAATGTGCAAAATCCTGGGAGCAGCCCGGCGAGAAGTGGTATCCGAGGCGACTACTCGATCTCAGAGAGTTGCGTGGAGCTCACAGCAATCTGGAGCGGGCGAAGGTGCACTTGGTTGAATCAAAGGACGCCTGTAATGCTATCAGACGCGAGCATGATCGATATATCACACTAAGTCATTGCTGGGGTAAATCAGAGTCAGGTGAAGGACCACTCAAACTCACATTCGACACGGAAAAGCGATTCAAGGACGAGGGCATCAGATTAAAAGAGCTATCAAAGACCTTTCGAGATGCCGTGGTCTTTGCCGCGCGCCTAGAGAAGGTCGGGTATATATGGATCGATTCTCTCTGTATTCGCCAACCCAGCGTCGGACCTGGCACAAACCAAAATGAGCAACTGAAAGACTGGTTTGAACAGAGCAGCTTCATGGGTACAGTGTACCGGAAAGCTTTCCTGAATATTTCCGCCACCGCTTCTTCGAATGGTCACGGGGGCCTGCTCTTTGATCGTAGACCTGAACACCTCTGGGAGAACAACGTCCACGTATACTATCCAGAGAAAGACCCTGCCATGTCAACGAAAAGCCCCAAGGTGGAGCTAGATTCTTACAAACGATGCACAGTCGTTGACGTTTCTGCCTGGGACGACCTCGTAGAGAAAGCCCCCATCAACAAACGCGGTTGGGTCTTGCAGGAACGCCTCCTGGCACCTAGGGTGTTGCATTTTTGCCACAACCAGATAGCCTGGGAGTGCTCCGAGTTCCAGGCGGCGGAAGGACACACCGATATGCACTTGGCGGCCAGATTGCACAGAACCTCTATCTTCCAACAAGGGCAGTTGAAGCATCTCACCGCTGAAAACGGGCGTTTATTCCGAGAAATACGATTGCGCGGTATGCCAGATCCAGACAAGCACTTACGGAATCTGTACATCTACGAGCTGTGGAAGAGAGTCGTGGAGACCTACTCGCAGACGCAACTCACAGAAGATAAGGATAAGCTCATTGCGCTTGCGGGTATCGCGAAAATCTTTCAAGACGAACTGTTTTCTATGGGCATGGGTGGAAGATATGTCGCCGGACTATGGGGCAAGAACCTGGAAAGCCAGCTCCTGTGGCATGTGAACGAAGTTTACGCAAACGATGGGATATTGTTCGACAATCCTGCGATGCGCTGTGCCATTGGAGGCCCTTCGTTTTCCTGGGCTGCGATCAAAAGTCCGCATGGAATCACATATGGCGATATCACGGATTACAAGTCACCGGAAGACGGTGTGGGAGAGCTTCTATTCAGAGTTCTGGACCACAGTATCACACTCGCCGACCCAAAGAACCCCTTTGGCATGGTCACTGCCGGTAGACTGCTACTCGCACCTCGATATCTCCGACGCATCGAATTATCGAAGCTGCCAAAATCGCGCAGGGTGCCCTTCGCTTGGAGTCTAAAGCTGGATCCTCAACCCAAACGTCCGAAGGAATATACCAACATCTACCTCGATGCCCCTGGGTCCGACAAAGATATCTTTGGGAAGAACGCGGAGCTCTACTGCATGCCTGCAGCATACGGAGAGCGAACAGAGAGGAAATCCGACAGGTACCTGTACTGCTTGCTGCTCAAGTATGAGAAGCCAGTCGTATTTGCAAAGAGTCAGAATGGGCAGAAAGAAGGGCGGTATCGAGGGTTTCGGCGGGTTGGCATTGCAAAACTAAGTAGTATGGATGAAGGAGGACAGATTGCATTGAAGGAAGTCGATACTAAAGAGTTGATATGTGTGTGCTGAGACTATACATGTATGTTGCTAATCAGTTTTACTTGGATAATGGCATTCATAGAGCAGTCAATATGGGGAAATTTTCCAGAATGCTACACATCATGTATGAAATTCCTTGTAGTCGTCAAGTCCCTTAAACTGGTGCACGATAGGTCGTCGTATGCATGCTAGTGGAGTGACAATGACAAAATTCTCACCTACCCCACCTACCCCACCTACCCACAAGTCCCTGCCCCTCATCACCCACCCGTTCATCATCTTACATTGATAAAAACCCTTACCGCACCAGTCAGGCTTTCCATCTTTAACCAACATTATATTTTTGCTTTCTCTCAAATTCCCTATCGATTACCTAATATGGGCACTTGGTCTAGGGGTATGATTTGTAAGACTCTCCAATACTCTATACGTATAAGCAGATTCTAACAGTAGTAAAGTCGCTTCGCATTATCCAGAAATGTCTGTGAAAGGTCGTGGGTTCAATTCCCACAGTGTCCACTTTTTTTGGTTGTTTTTGCCTATTTGTTGCTCTTTTTTGCTCTTTTCACTATACAAGATGGGAGGGTAGGAGGGGAAAGGAACAAAGAAGAAGTGTGGATACATGCATAGTTTTGTTTAGCTGTAGATAAGTGAGGAAGGGCGGGCGGGCGGGCGGGCGTTAGGGATTATAAAGAAAATGCGCAAGTCCGTGAATTTGTCGATTTGGTATAATTTCCAGTGTCCATATGTTTTCTGTTATTTTTGCTGACTAGGGAGGGAAGGTTATAGGGGTAAATGCAAAAGGTGGAGGGAAGAAGGTAAACACATATTTTGAAGGCAAAAGAGAAGGGAGGAAAGAGGAGTTAAAAAAGAGGTGCAAATGCGGAAGAGATGTAAAAGTTAAAGTAGTCATGTTTGTAGCTACTGATGTGAAAAAGATATGTATGTACAAAGAAACGTAGGGTATATCCAGAAACTCCAAGCAAACCATCAGCCAGCGTGGCTCTGCCAGCCATGTACATGCCGGCACCTCACTCAGACTCCCATCCCCGCTCAATGCCTCGCATGATGCTTCGTAAGCCTCTGCCTATGCTCTCTAAGATGCCTCTGCATCCGCGCCTTCCTCGCATCAGGTGCGGGCGTCTCAGCCGCCCTAGCAGTGACGGTAGCGTAGAAAGTCTCGTAAACCGTGTGTACCGCTCCAACAGTCTCGGTAACGACGGGTAGGACTGGGATCGCTGGAGGCGTATCGTTGGTATTGGTCGGTAGTGGAGCTGGAGCCGGAGACTCGGAGACAACGGGTGCGCTGGAAGACTGCGCGATACTTTGCAGCGTACTGGGGCTCGGAGCTGCTGCGCCACCGGTCGAGTTCTGCACAGGTGCATCGGTGGGTTCAGGAGCTGAAGCGGCGGAAGTGGTGGCAGCTGGCGCATCGTCAGGCTGGCCTGCGCTGTCTCCTGGCCACTGGAAGCCTGGCATACCGTTTGCGCCTGTCTGTGCTGGGGCTTGCGGGGTAGGCTTGACGGGACTTGCTGCACCTCGTGACTTTGTAGGTAAGGGCTTCGAAGAAGGTTTGGCGGAAGACGCAACGCCGGTGGGAAGGGGTGCGACGGGGACTGTGGGAGTCTTTGAAGGGAGTCCAGAAAGGACCTCGCTTGTGGGGATGGGTGCGAAGATACCGGAAACAGATGGAATGATGAGCGAAGGAAGGTCGATTGGTATAACAGGAGGTGCGCTTGTAGGAAAGCTGGTGTTGATCGTCGAAACAGGGAGAGGCACCGAGATCGCGGTGCTATAGCCTGGCGCGGAAGAACTCTCAGGAGCAGGAGCCTCCCCGTTATCCTGATAAACCTTCAATCCGTTGATGGTCCAGTATGCCTCCGCAAACGCCTCGGGGTTATCCCTCACCCACTCCTCGCACGTCGCCGCCTTCTTTCCGCAAGATCCGGTGTCCCAAACACTGCTGCTTCCAGCCCATTGTCCGCAGAATGTGGTGTCGAAAATCATCTTTTGTTCGTGGAAAGTCTTCTCGATATCGCAGTCACCTGTGAACATTGCAGCCGGCTTTCCCCAACCGCTGGGGTCTGGGTTGTCGCCGAGCACGTCTGCGGGGATCGAGTCGCGCGGGAAGAAGTAGACGCTGATAGCTTCCGAAGTCCACTGGGTTGCGTATACACCTCCGCCGATTTGGTTCAAGCCAGCACCGTAGCTCTGCTTCGAGGGGTGTTCGATCGAGCATCCGACGTTCTTTCCCTGACCTTTGGCGGCGATATCACAGTTCCCTGTGTTGAGCTCACCGGCAAACTGGGCAATGTCTTGACCGATTTGGCATCCTGGACCAGTGTGAAGAGTCATGCCGTTATTTGTCTGCTCGTTGACGCCTTCGAGAATGTCGATCTCGCCGTTTTGAGGCCAGTCAGGACCGATTGTCCAGAATCTATAGATATGTAAGCAACTTCAGTTTCGCAGAGAGATGGCAGCACTTACGCTGGCCAGGTACCGCAGCCAAAGGGCATGTGAGCAACATCCAGCACAATCAGCCCAGTGTTGTATGACTTCTTGCTCTCGATGCGGATGCTAGGTCTCCCCTCGGGGGTTTTGTTTTCAGCATCGACACCCCACGATACCGCCGAGGTAGCGGACGAGTTGATGAGGTTTGTCTGCCTCGCCGTAGCTTCGTCGACATACTGCACAAAGCCTTCTGTCGGGTCCTCTCCGGTAAAGAAGTCGAATGCCCCATAAAAGTCCGTCATATAATCATCTTGCAAAACATAGCCAGCTATGCTCAATTCAAAAAAGGCCGCAGCCGAAGTGAGTGTGGAGAAACGCATCGTCAAGATACTCGAAGAACAAGAATATAGTAATGAATGACTGCGTAACTAGACGCTTGAACAGAACAAAAAGGCACAAGAATCGAAGAGAATACGATGCTACGAGACGACGATGAACCCAGGTACCACATGGTCACAATGGGACGACCTACATATATATGCATGCGGCCCAAGCACAGAGCCGTCGCAATACCCTGTGCGTGTTCCCCATCGATTCGCTCTCACGGGTCTCGCTTAGAGACACTAGACGGGTGGGTGAGTGAGCATCTCCCGTTAGGCTCATCAGATTTCGTTTCAACAAGAGCATTGTTCTACGCCAGACCGCGGAGCGTGTTTGTCTCCGGTTAGAAACACCGAGGGAACCTGCAGCAGCCACTCAGACCCTAGGCTTGGGACTTGATAGCGCTGGACAAGGCTGGTCGGATGTTTGACCAGGTGTTTGGCGTTTCAAGGGAAATAGGACGGGAGCGAGTGGTGGCGCTTCAAGCAGGTACAGGCGCTGATAGAGCCTGCATCCTCGTGCAGACGTGGCCGAGACCCGGCATCCGTTATCGATTGCCTGGGGTATTTCTGGAGAGTGTGATTTGTTGCGCTGTTGTTGAAACGCGGAGCGATTGAGTTTGAGATGAGGGAACGCGACTGCTGGCCAATGCCGCGTTCCTCCTGTTAGCGCTGCCGAAACGAGTACAAGGTCTCCATCAGTCTGAAACCACGACTTTTGGCCGACGAGCGCTTCCATACTAGAAATCATGTGTCGATATGAAATGCAGGGTGGGCAAACGTCAAGTGCGCAGGCAGGTATCCTGGAGCGTGACATGCTCAACATGAGGTTAAGTGCTCAGTTGGGTTTTATTCATCCATCTGTCGTTATACATCGTCATTCAAGGCACAACATCTACTGCAGCGATTCAATAACGATGGCAGAAGCACCACCGCCTCCGTTGCAAATACCAGCACAACCGATCTTGCCCTTCGTCTCCCTCAGTACACCGATCAATGTGGTTGTGATCCTGGCACCCGAAGCACCGAGCGCGTGACCGAGCGCAACAGCACCGCCGTGGAGGTTGACCTTGTCTTCCTGGATGCCCAGAATCTTCATGTTCGCGAGAGCGACAACGCTGAAGGCCTCATTGATCTCGAACGCGTCGACATCGGAGAGCTCGACCTTGGCATGCTTGAGAGCCTTGGGCATGGCGAGCGCAGGAGTGGTGGTGAACTTGGATGGGTTCTGTTCGGCATCACCCCAGCCGAGGATCTTAGCAATGGGCTTGAGGCCATATTTCTTGACAGCGGCTTCGGAGGCGAGGACGAGGGCAGCAGCGCCATCAGAGAGCGGTGAAGCGTTGGCAGCAGTGACGGTTCCGTCTTTGGGCTTGAATACAGGGCGCAGTGTGCGTGTCTTGGACTCGTTGAACTGGGCAAATCAGTAAGTCGAATTTTTGGTATGGAACACAGTCTGCGGTTAGTACTCACGTTCTTTGGCTCGTCGTCCTTGTCGACAACCACAGGAGGCTTGCCGCGCCCTACTGGAACCTCAATGGGAACGATCTCCTCCTTGAACCAGCCGGCCTCTTGCGCGGCATTAGCCTTCTTGTATGAGCGGATGCAGTATTCATCCTGGTCCTCGCGGCTGAAGCCATGCTCGTCAGCGCACTCTTCTCCTTGCAGACCCATGTGCTCCTTCTTGTATGCGTCTGTAAGGCCATCTTTCAGTACACCGTCGACCAGCGTCTGGTCTCCGAACTTGGCACCGTTCCTCATCGTGGGAAGGTAGTGGGGGGTGTTCGACATGCTCTCGGTGCCTGCGGCCACGACGATGTCCGCATTGCCGGTTATGATGGTCTGCGCGCCAACGATAAGAGCCTTGATCGAGGAGGCGCACACCTTGTTGATGGTGGTAGCAACAGTCGACTCGGGGAGGCCGGCGCCAATGGCGCACTGGCGGGCGGGGTTCTGGCCGAGACTGTCATAGCTTGTTAGTAGAAGCCTGAATGGGTACGAGGTGAGGTCGTACTTGGCAGAGAGGACATTGCCAACAAAGACCTCCTCAACGTCGGTGGGCTGGATGCCTGCGCGCTCGACGGCAGCTAAATCGTGTGAGCCAATTGATACAAGTACGATTGAAGCTTGACCAACCCTTAATTGCATGGGAGCCGAGCTGAACAGCGCTCAGACTCGAGAGGGAGCTGTTGTTGCGTGAGTCCACTGCAAATTGCCCCTCTTTTTGCACTCGGAAACATACCCCAAGAACATGCCCGTGGGCGTGCGGGCCGCCGAGACAATGTAAACAGGGGGAAGCGACGACATGGTGGGTATCTTGAACGTGCTTGAAGGCGAATTGAAAGGCAGGAAGACCGAGAACAACAACAGATGCAGACGAAGCTCTTGCTGAAGTTTAGTTTCTTACGACCAGGGCGAGCATTTGAGGCGGCGTCTCGTCCCTGCAGCAAGCCTTTCCCCATTGGACAGCCTGCATAACGTCGCTCACCGCCTTGGTCACGTGCACGCTAGGCGCAACTCGCAGTCTTGGAACTTTTGCGATGTATAGCTTCGAGCTTGTCGCGCATCACTGCCGCTGCATAGACGCCTATCGCCACCATGGATGACCTCTATGACGAGCAAGTACCTCCATTCGACTCGGTACAATTACGCGACTGACTTTTGACAGATTCGGAAATTTTATTGGCG